CTGTTCCTTAATACCAACAACATTTTCTAATCTATCAAGGAGAATAGTGTGATCTATAGTATCAAAAAGCTGCATTAAGGTTGAGTAACACAAGCAGTGGGACACAGCCCTGATCAGAGGTCAGTAGAAGGTCATTTACTACTTTAACTAATGCTGTCTCTGTGCTGTGATGAGGTCTAAATCCTGACTGATACATTTTTGAATGAATGTTGTTCCTATCTAAGTACGAGCATAACTGCTTTGCTACAATCTTTTCTAAAATCTTAGAGATGAAGGGGAGATTCGATATAGGTCTATAGCTGGGCAATTGAGACGGGTCAAGGTCAGGTTTTTTAATCAGGGGTTTAATAACTGCTAATTTAAGTGATTTAGGTACACGGCCAGTGCTAAGGGAAGAATTGATTATATTTAAAAGTGGTTCAATTACTCCTGGACAAATCTGTTTAAAGAAACATGTAGGTACGGGATCTAGTGTACAAGTTGATGAATTGGCTGAAGAGATTAATGTAGCTAGTTCGGTCTCTCTAAGGCGGAGCAAAACACTCTAAACATTGATCTGATATTGCTACATTGTCATCTAATGGGTTTGTTACAGTATTGTCCGGTTTTAATTTAATGGCCTGTATTTCACTTCTAATATTTTCAACCTTATCAATGAAAAATTTCATGAAATCTTCACTACTATGTAATGATTGAGTGTTTCTCTCTGTAGTGGTTTTATTCCTAGTTAATTTTGCTACAGTGTTGAATAGGAATCTGGAATTGTTTTTGTTATCTCCTATTAAGGTGGAGAAATAGATTTTTCTAGCATCGGCAAGAGATTTCCTATATTTCAGTAGACTCTCCTTCCATGTTGTTTGAAATATCACCAGTTTGGTTTGATGCCATTTACGTTCTAATTGTCGAGAAGTCTGTTTTAATGTTCGCGTTTGATCGTTATACCAGGGTGCTAATTTTTTCTTTCTAATTATTTTTCTTTTGAGTGGAGCCACTCTATCTAGCGTAGCGGAGTGTTGACTAAGCTTTCAGTCGCCTGATCAAGTTCTATTGGATCTGACGGTGATCCAAGTCTAATTGATGTTTCTGCGCGGTTATTTATGAAGCTCGGCACAGTAGCTGATGTGTAGGTACGTTAAATTGTGTGTGTGTGTATATGTATATGTATATATGTATATGTATATATATATATATATATATATATATATATATATATAATGTATATAGCGTGTCTAAAGTGTCCGTAGTGTATGAATGGGTGTGTGAGTGTGTATGTGATTGTGCCCTGCAATGGACTGGCACCCTGATGCTCCCTGGGATAGGCTCCAGGTTTCCCGGTGACCCTGAAAAGGAGTAAGCGGTAGAAGATGAATGGATGTATGGATGGATATATACACTGCTCAAAAAAATAAAGGGAACAAAATCAAAGTGAAAAACCACACTACAGGCCAATCCAACTTTGATGTAATGTCCTTAAAACAAGTCAAAATGAGGCTCAGTATTGTGTGTGGCCTCCACGTCCCTGTATGACCTCCCTACAATGCCTGGGCATGCTCCTGATGAGGTGGTGGATGGTCTCCTGAGGGATCTCCTCCCAGACCTGGACTAAAGCATCTGCCAACTCCTGTACAGTCTGTGGTGCAACGTGGCGTGCAGACACAGCAAACCTTCTTGCCACAGATCGCATTGATGTGCCATCCTGGATGAGCTGCACTACCTGAGCCACTTGTGTGGGTTGTAGACTCCGTTTCATGTTACCACTAGAGTGAAAGAACTGCCAGCATTCAAAAGTGACCAAAACATCAGCCAGGAAGCATAGGAACTGAGAAGTGGTCTGTGGTCACTACCTGCTGAACCACTCCTTTAATGGGTGTGTCTTGCTAATTGCTTATAATTTCCACCTGTTGTCTATTCCATTTGCACAACAGCATGTGAAACTGGTTGTCAATCAGTGTTGCTTCCTAAGTGGACAGTCTGATTTGATTTCAAAGGAGTGTGATTGACTTGGAGTTACATTGTGCTGTTTAAGTGTTCCCTTTATTTTTTTGAGCAGTATATATATATATATATATATATATATATATATATATATATATATATATATATATATATATATATATATATATATATATATATATATATATATATATATATATATATATATATATATATATTGGCAATGGCAATAAAATTTTTCTATCTATCTAAATAAAAACATAGCCGGATATGGAAATCTGTGGGATTCAAATGCTCATTGCAAATAGTGCCCCTAGTGGCCAGATATTACAATGATATGTAATGCAATAAAGAGACCATAAATGAATATGAAATTTTTTGACAACACCTCAAAGGTAGTTGTGCATGTCTGCTGGAAGCAGTGCATGTCTGCTGGAAGTTGACTGGCTACAGGCAAGAATGTTTTGGTGTAATTTAGTGATTAGCAAAAATCCATCTATAGATGAGCAGAAACAACACACCAAATGTCAGCTCAAATGGCCTTTTGGCTCAACTTAACTCCAAACCATATGAACACGAATAGTACCTCCCAGTGGCCAAGATGAGTGAGATCAGATAGCAGTGAGTCCCTCCCAAATCTACCATTCAAGTTTCGTGAGGATAGCTCACCCTTGCAAATGCCTGCTGAAAATTTAATGGCCAATGAGGGCCATGTTTTTTAAGTACAACCCCAATTCTGAAAAAAGTTGGGATAGTATAGAAAATGCTAATAAAAACAAAGAGGATGGTTTGTAAATGTATTTTGACTTTTTGTATATAAACAAACAAACAAAAATGATGTATAAAACAATAAATTTGATGTTTTACTTAATCAACTGCATAGTTTTTTGAAGATAAACATATATTTTGAAATTGACGCATGCAACACGTTAAAAAAAAGTTGGAACAGGGGCAGTTTATGACTAATAGCGATATGAGAAGTTGAAATAAGAAGGTGATGTGAAACAGGTGAGGCAATCGTCTAATTATAGTATATAAGGAGCTTCCAAAAATGAATAGCCCTCCAAGGGCGAGGATGGGTCGAAGCTCGCCGATCTGCCAACAAATGCGTCAGAGAATAATCCCCAAAGACAAATTGGTAGGATTTTGGGCATTTCACCTTCTACAGTGTACAATATAATTTCAAGATTCAAGGAATCCGGTCAAATCTCAGTACGTAAAGGGCAAGGCAGGAAACCACTTCTGAATACGCGTGATCTCCGATGTCATGGTAGTCCCTCAGATGTCACTGTCCTTAAAAACATGAGTCTGTAAAAAGTCACGAGTCTGTAATGGATATCCTGACATGGGCTCGGGAATACTTTGGTAAACCTGTGTCAGTCGACACCATTCGCCGTTGCATCTACAAATGCAAGTTAAGGCTTTACTAAGCAAAGCAGAAGCCGTACATCAACACTTTCCAGAAGCACCACCCGTTTCTCTGGGCTTGGTCTCATCTGAGATGAACAGTAACACAGTGGAATCATGGTTTGTGGTCTGATGAGTCAACATTTCAAAGAGTTTTTGGACAAAACAGCCGTCGTGTTCTCCGCGCCAAAGAGGAAAAGGATGCTGTTATCAGCATCAGGTCCAAAAGCCAACAACTGTCATGGTATGGGGGCGTGTCAGTGCCCATGGCATGGGTAACTTGCACCATTAATGGAGAAAGATATGTACACATTTTGGAACAACATATGCAGCCATCCATTTTAATTACAAGCGTATGGTTGTGTAAGCTGAGAGCGCTGGTGCTAGCATGGCCTACTGCAGGCCTGTCTCAAATTGAGAATGTGTGGCGCATTATGAAGCACAAAATCAGGCAACAAAGGCCCTGTACAGTTGCACAGCTGAAGAAATTTAGAAGAATGGATCAATGGGGGAATATTCCTCCTGCTAAACTTTTCCGCCCACAGAACTGTTGCTCATGCAATGTTTTTTGTTTTTTGCACCATTCTGTGTAAACTCTACAGACTGTTGTGTGTGAAAACCCCAGGAGATCATAAGTTTCTAAAATACTCAGACCAACAGATCTGGCACCAACAACCATGTCACAGTTAAAGTCACAGAGATTTTTTTAGAGCATTTGGCAAATGCTCTTATCCAGATCAACTTACATTTAGCTGATACATCTGAGAAATTGATGGTTAAGGGCATTACTAACGGGTCCAAGGGTGGCAGCTTGGTGGCGTTGGTGTTTGAATTCGTATCTTCTCAGCAGTAGACCAACACCTTAACCTCACACTTTTTCTTCATTCTGATGTTTGATGTGAACTTTAATTGAAGATCTTGACCTGTATCTGAGTGTATGCTGAGTGTATAAAATTTAGAATAACTTTTGTTTATTTGTTAATTGTCAAATTCAAAATAGATAGTTTCATTCATAGCTATTAATGTATTGAAGTGTAAGTTCATAACATGAACTTAGGACTGTATTAAATAAATAACAAGATAATAGATTGGTGTGGTAAAAAAACCAAAAAACTAAATAGCCTAATAATGAGACTTATGGTCAACTTATGTTCATGACAAAAAGCAGTTAGATAAAATAAAAAATAAAAATGTCACAGATGGTGGCTCAGGGGCCTGGGCTTCTGTAGCTCAAACTAAACAGTTGTTAAAAAGGTTGAAGCTTTGCAATTTCAGAATTGTTACAGTAGATGGTGACAGTGGAGCATTTTGTAGAGATAAGCACTACAGAAAATATAGTACTTACTTTCAGGAAGTTAATTATTTAAATCGTTATCTCAAATTCTGTTCATTTATCTGTCAATGTCATTAGATAGTGTTGCTGCCTTATAGCTCTGGGGTCCCTGGTTTGACCAAGGGTCAAACCAGGATAAAGTGGTTACTGAAAATGAATGCATGTTAATATATTTCTTCCCAGCAGGGGTGTTCATAACTCATTTTACACAAGTCATAGGTTCAGTTGTGAACTTAATACTGAAATTGACTGAAAAAGAACCCTTAAATGGTTGAAACTAGAATGCCTTTATGTAATGTGATGGAGCAGTGGTGGCTCAGTGGTTAAGATGTTGTGATACTGATCAGAAGGTCATGAGTTCAAACCTCATCACCACCAAGCCCTTGAGCAAGGCCCTTAACTGTTCAGATGTATATATGAGATAATATACAGTATAACAGCACTGGGACATATCACTCCACTTACATGTGTTCATATGAAAAATTCAAAATCTAGCAATAATTTGTTACATCGAAACCATTACTACATGTAATGTAGTACATATAAGTTGCTGTCAGTCAGTTTGTATGGCAAAACTATCCAACTATTTCATTCTCTTGGAAACTATTTTCCTGGATGGAGTAAAAATGAACAAAATATCTAACCATAGTGTTATGGTTACACAATATTAAAATAGCCGTGTTGATATTTTGTACATCAGCACTCTTGCTTATGCGATATTGTTTAATTATAAAACAGTGCTGTCGATTTCTGGATTCCGATTGGTCAGAAGGTGACAGTAGTTAAAGTTTATATTAATGAACACTTTTTATACATTATCGTTTCTATAGTAACAATTCATTCACAGGGACTTGTCGCTGGTGGAGACTCCACGTAAATATTTACAAAAAGTTGTGTAATTGTTGATATGTATATATATATATATATATATATATATATATATATATATATATATATATATATATATATATATTTATGTACAAGTGGGGGAAATAAGTATTTGACCCCCTCTCAATCAGAAAGATTTCCGGCCCCCAGGTGTCTTTAAAGGGAGTGCTCCTAATCTCAGCTTGTTACTTCACTAACTTCACCGCATCAAAGGGATGATGAAATCTTGGGTGAGAACCTCCTTCTCTCAGCCAGGACATTGAAAATTAAAAGTAATTACTAAGTCATTACCAAGTACTAAGTCATGTTTTTGCAGAGGGGGTCAAATACTTATTTCCCTCATTAAAATGCAAATCAATGTATAACATTTTTGACATGTGTTTTTCTGGATTTTTTTGTTGTTATTCTGTCTCTCACTGTTCAAATAAACCTACCATTAAAATTATAGACTGATCATTTCTTTGTTAGTGGGCAAACGTACAAAATCAGCAGGGGATCAAATACTTTTTTCCCCCACTGTATATATATATATATATATATATATATATATATATATATATATATACTCGTTGAGCAGTACGAGAAGATCAGAGGGAGTGTGGTACAGTGTGGGCTGTAATAAGTGATTTGAGGTACTGTGAGTGGGTGCTGCTCTGTTTGTGGCTTTGTAGGACTTTTATATCTGATGCAAGTATATACAGGAAGCCAGCGGAGGGAGCGTAGTAATGATATGGTGTGGGAACTTAGGAACGTTGAATTACAGGATGTTTCTAAAGTGAAATTATAAACTACTGCACATGTAGCAAGTAATTGCACATATTGAGCTATTGATTCTTTTACTCTTTCTTTATAGAGAAGTATGTTTCTTTTTTTTATATTAGAATGTAGCTATTTAAGTGTCATTATATACAAACAACAATGTTTTCTTTCTTTTAAAATGTGAATTTATTTAGGAGAAATATTGCAATAATGATTAATACGAATGTACTTTATTGAATTAACAGAAAAATAAGACGAATTCAATTTATTGCAAATCAGTAATATGATGGTAAAGTCAATTAAGCAAATGTTTATGTTCAAAGATGGTCTTTACACCTCTTATGCAAGGCAACAAACTATAGGTAAAAGGTGTGTTATAGAAAAAAACAAGAATTAAGCTTTAGTCACTGGTTGAGCTGAACTTTCAAACAGGCGTCGGTCGATTTTTTTGCATTGCTCGCTGCACCTGCACCAAGCTGGGGCTGGCACATATCCTGCGCCCATTAAATAAAATAAAACTGTAGGCAAAGAGAAAATTTGGGTTAATGTTGTTATATATCCAGACAACACAAAATAAATGTTCAGAATCAGAATATCCAGAAGAGCTGTAGTTAAGCTAAGTCACAATTTAAAACAACTATAATTGTGAAATTAATAAAAAATAAAGATTATATGCTGAAAACTTACATGACTCCAGAATATGCACAGTCAGGCCTTGTTACACTGTAGCTTTTAATGACTGCAGCAGGGATTGAAATCTGGGCAAATGTGAAACAGCATTCACTCGATCCTATCGCATCTGTGAGAAAACATTAATTAATGTATTTTACATTTTGGACTTATCTTATCTTACCTTACCTTATCTTTGTTTGTACCCTACATCTTGTACCTTGTGTATGTAAATGTTAGCTGGAAAGATGCATGTGTTATACCTTTGATTGTCTTTTAGATGAAAGCTTTACTGCATCAGTGGTCCATAACGTTCAATTATGTACACTATATTAACATTACCAGTTGAAAGATACAGTAAAATGTATAACGGATGGTAAAAAATAATTGGTGGTCGTATGAGAGTATACTTAATTACATAAAGTATTGGGATATACAAACACATAAATAAAGATCGTTATCTTTGAACAGTAGTCTGATTGAACTATGTACATGTATCTGTCAATAAGTAAATATTGAATGAAATTTGAAATACTTTAATGAAAACAAAAGGAAAAGTGTGTGTAAGGGGGGGAGTCAGGTCATGAATATTAAGTAAAAAAACTTGAATTTAATATATTTAAACAACGAATTACATTTTTGGCCATGTGCGCAAAAAACATTATGTGCAAGAAAAAAAACAACAACAAATAAACATCATGCTTTGAAGATTTGTGTAATTCTGCTTTCGATATTGTTAAACAAACTGCCAGTTTTACGAAACAGAGTTCACAACAATTCTGATTAAGTGCAAAGCAATTATGTGCCAAGTTTGATTCAGCAAATACAATAATACAAACAAACAAAAAAAAAGATTATAAAGATGTAAAAAAAAATAAAAATAGAATCAAAAGACAGACTTTATCTTACTCTGGGCCATTGTGAATGATGGAAGGCAGGCGAGAACCAGCAGGAGAAAATGGGAGATCATGACTGCTGATGGTGATGATTATGATAAGGATGATGATCACGATGCGAACAGAATCGTATTAATGCAAATATCACCTCAGCAGTTTATATTAGCTGATAAGAGGTGTGGGAGAATGTGGTTTTAGGTGTGTGTGTGTGTGTGTGTGTGTGGGGGGGGGGGGTCATAGGCAAAGAAATGTGAGTAAGTGGGGGAAAAAGCACCTCTTTCACAGGAAACATGGCTGCGGTTTTCACCTTAACTGATACATAACTCAGCAGCGTTTAACACTTCATAGCCAAACTCACAGCGTATAAGAATAATTTCAGTTTTAATAAGTATCAGTTTTTCATCTGATGTGGGCATCTACAGGAAGCCAGTGGAGGGAGCGTAGTAATGAGGTAGTGTGGGAGAATTTAGGTACGTTGAAAACCAGTTGTGCAGCTGCGTTCTGGGTCACTTTCAGAGGTCGACTGGCGTTCAGAGGCAGACCAGAAAGGAGAGAGTTGCAGTTCTCTAGTACTCTTGAAATGACAAGAGACTGAACCAGCATCTGAGTGGCCTGTATGGATGGAAATGGACGAATCTTACTGATGTTGTAAAGGAGTAATCGGCTTGAGTGTGTCAGATTAGCAATGTTAGAGGAAAAGGACAGTTGATTGTCCATGGTTAACCCAAGATTGCATAACAGTAACTGAAGGTGGGATCAGAGAGATGTTCATGGAGATCGTACGATCCTGACATGGCGATAAACCACCTAGGGTGAACAGCAGTTCAGTTGTTGAGTTGAGGGAACCTGCTTTTTTAATTTATATGACAAACAGCAGCCGTTATGTGAGGTGGAGAGCCATATCAAGTGCAGGATAATTGCAAACGTCTGTCCAAAAAGCTGCTTTTTTTTTTTTGTACATTCATCAAGCATATTTATCCATGTTAGAAAATAGCTCCCAGATTTACTGTTGTTTTATTTATTTGACATCATTATGCACTTGTGCACCAGGTCATGTTTTCTCTTCCATTTACAAATTACAGAGGGAGAGAAGAGTGGGGGAGGGGTGGACAGGAAGCAAATTAGGTCATGGTTTTATAAGATGAAGCCTCTTTACCGCACACTTCCCTTGTAATATTGCAATATAGAACAAAGTGTGTTTAGCAAAAACAATGCCAAGAAAAAAAATAATCTGACAGCATCAGCATTTATTTGTCCTATGTGGGTTTTGTCTCTGACTTTTGCGTTGCTCTTGGTTTTTACCCTAACAGAACTAAACCATGTCTAACACGTCATAGCCAAACACACATATAATGTTTAAGAATAATTTCAGTTTTATTTGAGTAAATACTGCAACACTGCAACACAATCACACATTAAACCCAAGGACATGGTGCATTATTTTAATTAAACATGCATACGTATTAACATAAGTATTCTTATAATTTTTCATCTAAAAGTACGTGAAAGAAATAAATCAGAATAAACACACCAAATAATTGAACTTAATGAATGGCAAATAAACAATTCTAATAAGACCAGATAGCAAGTGATCAGCATTTATTAGGAGTCTGAAAAGGGCCTGAACATCCATGGAAAGGTGACACCGTGATGAGAAACAAAACCACCCTCAGTGCTAAATGTGCTGTTTGTGGTCAGAAGGAGCTATAAATGGTTTAGTGAGAAAGAGATAACTATCAGCATGGTATTTGTCACACACTGAGTCTGTGTTCTACATATCGAGCCTGAAGGTCAAGCAAGCTGACAAGTTTCTGATTCTACTAGCTTTGTGTTGATCACTGACAAGCTAGAGGTTTTCTTAATTTTAATTACATTTTATTTGCCTTTCAGTTTTAAAAAATACACATTGTCACAAACAGCTTTACAGAAAGACAGATGTAGGGTGGTATCGGTCATGTCACAGCAAACCAGTAACTACATTTCCCACCCATAACAGGCAAGCGATCAGCAAACAGCCAAAAATAGGGCGAGGCTTGAATCAGAGTTGGGAAACGAAAAGAGAACAAAGGATAACTGCTTGGTAAAGAGTTAAATTCAATACTACACAAAGTCATAGTCAACATTCTCTTATATACTGTGGTGTGAGTGTGTGTGAGATTGGATCCA